ACGAAATTTCACACTTGCACCTTCATTGTTGATGAAAGTACGACTGTTTCGTTTCAAGATTTTCAAAATATTGAAATTGAGAATTCCTGCAAATCCGCCGGTAACAAAATGAAACAGAGAAAATACTACTTCAAGTTAAAGGAATTACTCTGATATTTTTGAACAAACTAATAGTACAATTACAGTTCGATCGTATGAAACAACATTTCAAATTCACAACTTCACTACTTTTACATGCTGATGAATAGGATGGATATGAAAATATCATATCTTTCGTCACGTTAATGAGAAACACAAAAATACGTGGAAATTCTGGTCTAATTCTGGCTGCACTCTCGGACACGTGGAATTCTCACTCACACATGTTGCTTGGAGGTTTCGCGGAGGCGGCCGACCTTGAGGACAACGGAGTTTAGTCGAAACGACATCGGACGATCAATCGTGCCCGTAATATATTTAGTAGCGAGTGCAATGGGCTGGCTCGTGTTTTAATAAGGGAAGCGTCGTGTCTCGCGTTGGAAAAGTCAGGGCCACGGCGAACGTATTAAAATCAGGTTGGCAGGTCAATGAAAATGCAATGAATTTGAAGAAAAAGGGATCGCGTGACGGGTTGATCGACAGGTTGCGAGATAATCTCGCAAACACAACGCCGATTGATCGTATCGTATCGAATCGTTTGCCTTCTCTGTCAAATAGAAACCGCGAACGATTAGAGCATTACAGAAATGCTCGAACTACAGTTTTACAGCTGTTGACTCGAGTAAAAATCATTTCCCTGATCGTTAAGAGATGGGAAAGTAATTTAGCGTGAACGCAAGTTTCATTTTCACTTGTGAATAAATGTGAGTTCACTGCGCTCACATTGTCACAATTTAATTAAAAAACGCGTCCAGAGCTGGACAAATTATATGGAACAACGCGCGCGAGAGATTCTTCTTCGTTTCTGCTAATTTCGTGTGAATTATAAATAATACCACGAGGTCGAGAATTTTTAGAAATAGAGCAACGATGGATCTGGAGCGGGAGTGGAGCATCTCAGCGAGGAATTTTCGACTATTGCGCGCAGATTGCAAAACATGATGATCAATGGACTGTGGATTTTCATGCAAATCCATATATTTTTCTTCTTCTTCTTAAATAATCAACGAAAGCGGAAGGTTTCGTTTCATTTCATCAAACATCGTGACAAATATTCTATGAAGTTGGAAAATGTAAATTTATTGCAAATCGATATCGGTGATGCCGATTGTAGGAATGACCGGGGCGAAATCAAATCGTTGTCCGGAGAGAGCATGTAGACATTAAAACCGATATTATTCGTTTCATTTGCAACAGTCTGGTGTGTTTAAATATTTGAGCCGAAAGTCACGTGGACTCGGCCCGACAAAACCTATATAATTATTCGCGAGCACTGTAACAGCCGTCCGATCAATTTACGCGGCCCGGCGGTGGTAATTGCTGCCGTCTCACGTTTCCTCTCACGCCCGGCGAGATAACCGGGTTTAATTTTCATTTTAATATGCATTAATCGTTCTGTTTGCACGAGCCAAACTCCCGAAACGGCTGGCTGGCAAATCCGTCTTTCTTCCCGAGGTTTTTCCACCCTGTAACACACCCATAAATTACACCAGTCTCATAGACATCGGACTATATTTCTGTCAATAGCGTTTAAAAGTTTCGCGAAAGCTTCGAGAGAATAGCGGTGGTAGTTCTCGTCGTGCAGTCGTACGTGCTGAAGGAGTTGAGAGGAACTTGCGACGGGGGGATGAAAGTTGCAAAATAAAAGAGGAGGAAGGTGGTTTGATATGAAAACTAATTCCTCCGGGCTGGTCCTCTCCGAGGTAACTTTTCCTCAAGATTTATAAGCTCGTGCTGTTGCCGGCCCGGCCTCTGAAGGGATCGACATCTGTTTGTACGTACCAATATGCGGGTTTATGACAATACATCATCGTTCCGGCCATTTTCGACAAGGTGTATTTTAGTTATAAATATGCACGCTGAAGTTGAATTATTTTCAGTTGTATTCACGGGAATTGAAACAACTCGCTCGAAGGAAATGTGGTTGATTACGGGCAGCAAGAAAATTGAGAGGATTTTTATTTAAATTATTCTAGCATATAACAAATGAAAATATTCCTATTTAGTGTATAATGATAATTGAAATAATAATTTCAAGAAGTCTAATGTTTTACGTTTCTTGGTTCGCAGGAAGGATACCGACCGAGCAATGTCACGGTGGATCAAGAAGGTATAAATTCATCGAGGATATTTATTGGTTCAGTATTTAACGGCAGCTTATTTTGTCACAGCACAGTTTATTATAACCAGATGCATTTTCATGAATTAAACGTGGATTTCATGAATAATTAGTATCATTATAAATTCTCTACTTCGAAATGTTCTGTGCGTTAGGTAAATTTTTTGCACTTTCAAATTCTTCGCAAGTGCATGAAAATCGGAATTGACAGGCATTTGCCAAGAATAGTTCCGATAAATTTCCCGAAAATTTCCGTCCTTGAAGATTAAAAATTTTCAGTGCCAGAACGTCGTGTTGCCATTTGCCGAAAGAATAATTCGAATGTCGATCGCGCATTCTGAAGATTAACAACATATCGTGCGACGTTTTTCACTCGAAGTCTACGTAAAATATTCTTGGGGAAGAATACGAGCGAGATGAACGTATGAAACGGTGGCACAGTTGAAAAAGTGTATCACAGCGGTTGGCAGTCGTACTTATCGTCAGATAAATCTAAGACTCTGGCGCTATCGTCGTGCTTTCACTCGGCCTTAAACAGATTTTACGACGTCAGACGAGCAGGCACGAAGCTGCATCGGTACAGCTCGGCTGCCTTATCTCCCGAATTTCTCGCATTTAATAAGCAATTCTACGTGTCCCGGTTATTACGCCAGTGAATCTCTGTCGACCCGGGGAATTAACCGTTTCAGAGGGACGGGAGAGAAAGTTCCTTCCTTTGTTCCAGCCTGTCCCGTTCGAGCGAAACAAAGCACCTGCCGCTGTCGTCCAACTTTTTCACCGCGATAAACAAACCGGGGAGAGGAGTTTCGCGATTTAATTAAGACGAGTCTTGCTCCCTGTCCCGTGTAAAAAGCGTAATCTCGATCCCCCGTTGTCAGCGGAAGATTGTCAGCGCGCGATTAAACCACCGAAACTACTTACTCGAGAAAGTATCATCTGTATGAGGGACCATCTGTGTGATCATGCGTCGGGCACTTCGATCGATTTGTAACAATGACGAAAGTACACGTGAATTATCGAGAAATTTCCAATTGTCAATTCCGCGATTATACTTTTTCCTAGCAGATCCGATTCTGTGGGACGATCGTCATGAATTCCGTTGCCAATATTTCGTTGCGCGTCTATTTTATCGCGGCGTCGCCTTTAAAATAATAACGCGGTATGTCGCGCGGCAGGTCGCGCGCGATAATGCGTGGTTAATTAATGCACGAGTACATGCACTTCCGCCTATCGGTTTTGAAACTGCTACATATTCCACGAGGCGTGGAAACATTTGAGGGGGACCCGAGTTCAGAGTTTATCGAAAGGGTAACTTATCGACTGTCGGAGTAACTGATCAAAAATTGAAAATCTTTGCCAGCACGTGGAAAGAAAAGCAAAAAAAGACACGAGTGAAAAATTCGACCATTGTTTATCGTGCAAGTAGAAATAGTTTTAAGATTAATTTAAAATTAATAAAACGGATTCATCGAAAGTACCATTATTACATTGGACTCAAGCTTTCGGCTTACACGTATAATTCACAATAATCTCTCTTATCTTTTTTTTTTTTTTTGAATTATTCTTCAAACACGTCGCTGCTGCAGAGACACCAGCCACGGATAGAACGGAGACGAGCAGAGAATTAACAACAGAGTTGGGAGAAATGTCCAGTAGAGAGCTGGCAGAAAAGAAAAACTCCGAAGTGGCTGAATCTAGAGTGACGTTAAGGGAGAAATCGGGAGAAACGGCGCCAGAAGAATCAAGAGAGATAGTGGGAGGAAAGTCGAGGGTGACGACGTCCGAAACAGCGGACGATGGGGACGAATTCACGAAGATTTGGCCCATAGGCACGCCATGGGAGCATTTGGAAACAGAGGATGCGGACGACAGCGAGCCATTCGAAGTAAGAACTCGCTCGGTGTTGTTACAGATGAACACAGTGCTTCCTAGCTTCCACTCGTCCAGCAATCTCGTAAGAATCAGTCCAATCTTTCGAGAGAGGCAAAAGTCTCTCAAAACTTTCCCTCCCTCCCTCCTTCCATCCTTCCTTCCTTTTTCTCGCAAACAACGTTGCTCTTCATTCGAACTTGCAAACTTTCGTTTACACGCTGTAAATCTGTTCTAAAGAAAATAAAAAAAGCAGAGTTTCGTTGCAGCGATTGCCTTTACCGAGAACCGAGGAGGAGATGAGGGCGTTGTTGAAGAAGTTCACACACGAGGCGACCGTCTATCGATCTTATTACAAACACTGGAAGGACACGGCCGAACAGGTGAAAATTCTACGATGTTTCGTTGATTTTATTGCTTTTTTTTTATGCAGATACGTACATTGCATGACGGACTGTGAGAATGATGAGCACTCGATTTCTTGATAATTTTTCTAAATAATTTTTTCTCTTATCTCTGCCAGCAAAGAATTTCCTCAGCAACCTTCGTTTCTTCTCGCAATTTCGCGAAACGAGTTCATTTCCCTGTAACTTTTATTAATTGCTTTCACTCTCTCACTCGTTTCTCCACGGAATCTCTACGATCATCGAGGATTCTTATGACACAGGCGATCAAGGAAATCGGAGGTAGACCAGTGCTGGCAACCTTCCTGGTGCAAGGCTTGGACAAGCACGGCACGGTGAAGGAACAGCCTGCTGTGAAACCGGCGGTAACGATCTCGAAATCACGCGTGAGAGGCAAAAGGAGAGGAAAGGCTAGCGCAAAGTCCAGCGCCAAGCCTTCGGACGAGAAGTTGACACAGTCCGCCATATTGGAGAACGATACCGCGGTAACAGCAGTGGATGAGGTCGACGAGGAACGGGATAAACCGGAAGAAAAAGAGGAAGAGAAAGAGGAAGAGGAGCAGGCAAACCCAAAACCGTCGGAGGAACCGTCGAAATTTTCTCCAGTCTCTTCGAGAGTACGTTCACTGCGATTTACGGGCGAAATTTTGCTTTATTTCAGTTTCAGTTGTTCATTAAAGTTTATTATTTCCCTGTTTGCGATTTTGTTGCGGACTTTGTCGTGTGCGTAACTTCGCTCGAAAAGTTCCGCGCGAGTTATTAGATCGCGAATGTTGGCGCGTTTGCTGGGGATGTACGTAAAAATTCCGCGGAAAACGATGTTTACCACTGCGGTGAAAGTACTAAAAATTCATCAAAGTCGTTGTGTTTTTTTTTATGACCCGACTGTTGTCGACTGGTCGACATAAATAATTCGAATGATTTACGTTAGATTTGCTGTCCTTCCTCTCTTTCTCTCTGTCTCTCCGTCGTGACAGAGGCTAGTGAAATTCATTGAAGTTAAAAATTTAAATTGAAACGAATGAATTTAACGCGGCCTCTAATGGCCCAACGTTGCCATTCGTTCGAGTTGTCCCAAATTGTAACAACCACTCGTAAACTTGATTGCTTGAACGAAAAAACGTAAGTGTAGTTCGATCAGCTTCGGACAATCGGTGGTGGACCATTTTTCCCCCAGACGTAAAACAGTGGAAGGACCTGGTTTTCATCTCTGTGCACGCTGTTTGTATTTGCTTGATGCTTTCGCCCGTGTTTCACAGAGTTTTTGTCGCGTTCCACGCTGCCGCGCATTCTCCTGCATTCTTCATTGTCCTCGATTTGTCCTCGTTCGTTTCTCAACTCTTGGGACGTCTGCTTTTTAATTTTTCGTTTCCCTCGTCGGGTTTTCAGGCTCCATTAGAGGCGACGGGAGACTCGTGGGAGTGACAGGGAGAGACGCTGGTGCGAGGTTTTTTGCGCGGCAAGTAGAGAGAGTCTGCGAATGGTCGGACGCGGAGCTAGTGTTTTATGAATTACAGGGGAACCGGTGACCACTCTTGACTGAGAGCGGGAAGCTCTCGAAGCGATTTTTATCTGTCGCTTTGCAAGCACACGAACGAGTCGATCTTTCATTCGATAGTTGAGAGTGGAAGGAAGCTCTTCCTTCCTTTTTCTTTCTATTTGCCGACGAGATTTACGAGACGTTGATGGTTCGTTGCGGCGGGCAATTCGGGTAAGTCTTTCTCATCAGCGGCGAACTGATTCGTTCAATTGGACGGTATTTTGTTAATTGCTCGAGAATCTTCTTTTATTTCTCTTCGTCTGTCATCAGAAAAGCCTGATTGATGTCGGATCTTTATATCCCCAATTTAGCAAGGTACTTTGGAAAATATCATGTGAAGTGTTGCTTTTATACTTCAATCTTGGACGAAAGATCAGTTGAATGGACGAAAGATCAGTTGAACGTAAATTTTCGTTATTTCTCTATACATTATTCTGGATGAAATTGGAGACACGATCGTCACGAAAAACGATTCAATAATTCTCTCCGTCAGTTGTTACTTGAAACACGCTCGGTTCTCGCGAGCGATCGAACAGAAATTTACCGAAGCTTCGCCGATATCGTAACGAAGGGCCGAGCAGGATCAACGATAAACGTCTCGCAACGAAACTAACGTCAACGTGCAGTTTTTATTTTCAACGAACTTGTGGCCGTGCGTGGACGTTTTCCATCTCGCTGATGTTGTCGTTTTTACAGGCGACCAGGGGAACTGCCTTGAGAATGAGCGAGCGAACGGCGGACGAGTCGAAGGGAATCGCCTCGTCGATAACGAGCTACCTCGTTGCGACGGTCGAGGCGGACGATCTCACGAAGGACCACGCGCGTTCGTTGGAGCCGGTGCCTTACATCTTTTATCTGAGAGCGGAGCCGGATATCGAGATAGCTACGGAGCACGACGACGAGCAGGTCGTTGCAGCGGATCCCGATCGTGAGAACGTCACCGCTTCGTACAAGCAGCTTTTCTTCAATCTCACGGACAAACCTTGCAAGGGAGGCAAACCGTGGATACTCTGACAGACAGCGGCGAAAAATCAATCAGATCGATCATTGAATTACACGTGTGCAATGACAACTGGACTACGGGTTTTTTCTTTTGTACTTTAGTTTACTAGTTTACTTTTACTCTGTTCGAGAAGTACACGAGGCTACGAGAGTTTCTCCAGTTGATTTCTATTTATATGTAACAGGTCTCCATTCATCTGAATGCTAATGTAGGGTAATTAGTTTAAGATGAAAAAGTTCTCGTTTCTCGTATAAGGGAAGTTTGGAAAATTAATCGAGCTTCAAGGATTCGTTGAACTTTTGGAAACTCTGAGAAGATTCTCTTTATTTTAGTTGCTATACTAAATTTGTATGCTATTTTTTGAGAAAGAACCTCTATTTTTCTACACAGAATATGTGAAAACCCAGCAAATAGTGGATTCATCAACGAATGGAACTCTCCGCTGTAAATATAGAATAGTTTTGTATATATAGTAATACTTTTGACAATTGTTTTCAAAGTCGCAGCCTTGTGTCGTCGATGGAAAGACACAAAAGAATCCAGGAGTAGTCTCGGGAGTAGAGGATGAAAAAGTGAAATCTAGGCGGAGGCAGGCGTCTCGTTGTACATTTCACGCACGTTCAAATTTCACCACGTAAAAATCCACAGTCCAGTGCGACAACAATATCTTTTTCTCCCAGCGAAATGTAGAAATGCGCGTCGTATTAAACGCGGGGCCGGATCGAATCGATGGAAAAGGTAAGCGGAAACAACACATGGCGGGCTAACCGACGAATAGTTTTCCATCACGGACGAAATTGCGAGATGAAAGTTATCGAGAAGGTAACACCCACGAATACTGAGAAGGAAGTGGATGAAGAATTGCATAGGGCAAGAATCCATAGGATTATAGAATTAAATTTTTCCTCGAAGCAATCGTAAAGCAACATTAAACCATGTGGTTTATTAATCGAGGAATTGAAAGGGGATGACAAAGAAATATTAAATTCTCTCTGCCTTTCTAACCCAAAACACACAACCTCAAGATGTAAAATAGTGCAGCTAAACAAACTCAGTCTCAAGTTTGGTTAGGTGCGATAATCGGATTGGGGACAGAGGTAGCAGGTAACACAGATAGTTGCCTCGCTCTTAGTTGCCACGCAAGAAGAAATTCCGAGCAATGGAATATCTTCCTTATCCATCCACACATACGTATAATCCTCGATGGGAATTTTTCAGTTACGATTCGTGCACGCTGTGCAAGACAGACGATAAAATTCATCGATCGGCTGGGGTAACGTAAAGTTCTGCGGCGTTTCTCCTTCCTCCAGGATCGCGGAATGTCTCACCGCCGGTGAAACTTCGCCACCGATGGCATTTAGATTCCATCCGTGTAATATCTGGATTCGGCATCAAAGACGACGTTTCCTGTCAGCGTCGTCCGACGTCGGATCCACCAACGGCTTATTGTGCAACGTCAAAGCTCATCTCAAAGCGAATTGCCACTTGCCCCCCCAGACAGTAATTTTAATCCCTGCGTAATCTTGCATTTGCAGATGCATTCTCGATTCTGCAATCAGAGGGGATCGATTGAAAAATGGAGAAAAAGGACGGCAAGTCTCTTATACGATTTTAACGATTTTTTCTCTCTCTCTTTCTTTTGCACACCGGAATACCTTTGCCAACGAGTGTAATTGACAATTCAAATTCTCGTCAACGAGATGCTATTTTTCTAGCGAACGAAACTAAGGAAACTCGGTTAATTAAGTTCGCACGTACGTGCTCGTTGACGGAAATTTTGAAATTCGCGCGAAGGAAATTCAAGTCCACGTTTGCTTGAAAATTCAGCACACTGTTGTCGATCGACACTGGACGAAATATTTCTGTTCGATTGTTTTTTTCATACGATTTTGGAATTCAACGCTAGTCACACGATAGATATTAATCAAATCGAGTCAATATTATTTGTTTTTAATCAGCAAGTCTTCCAGTCGACTCGTTCATTGCTACGTGTTGCGTTGATTCAAATATTTAAACGATTCTGCCGATACGAATGGTACGTTTCGTTTTTTTTTTTCTTTTTTGTATTTTGGAAAAATAACTAAGAGCAGTGCATGTCGGAATAAAAATGATTACTACGCCGCGGATTTTTTTTCTACTTGTGCAATATTTGAATAATCTATCGGCGATTGCAACTGGTCGAGAGATAGTTTAGAAAGTAGAATTATATTTGAATAAACGAATGAATAAACGTAGTGTATGCTTCAGCAATGATTGAACGAAGCAATGAACAAACATAAACGTATGCTTCAATGTAGTGGAGAACATTTAGCAGATTATTAACTTTCGTAGTGTTTTCACTCTAAACTTTGGTTATTCAACCAATAATCTGAATAACACTTACTTTTTGCTTCTTAGAAAACTTTCTTTACTTTCTAATTGAACATACTCTGGCTGACTGATAAGATACCGTGCGTACATATCTCACACGAACCTTATCGCTGGTATAATCCCTATCTTCTCAAACTTCATTCAACTCGCTCGTTCAGCCATGCCAAGAATGGCTGAACTGTGATAGCTGATCGATTTCACGACTTCGTCGTGTCTCTGAGTCGCGCGGGCACACACAGAAACTGTGTCCAGAATTTCGCGTGTTTCGTTTAAAAAAAAAAAAAAAAAAAAA